CCCCGTGTCCTCACGCGTACCTGCATGCAGCGCTCGCACTGGTAGGGCTTCTCGCCGCTGTGCACACGCTTGTGGCGCTCCAGGTGGTACTTCTGGATGAAGCGCATGTCGCACACGTCGCACTCGAAGGGCTTCTCGCCTGGGGGCAACGCGGGGACGCCGTCACCGGGAGCGCCCCGTGGCCCCCCGCGACCCCCCCTTCATACCCCCCCCGCCCCACGAACCCTGCTGTCCCACGCTTCCCCACGCCCGCCCCGCGTCCCATTGCTGCCTCGTGTCCCCCGTCATCCCGTGTCCCCCGCCGTCCCACGTCCCCCCCCCGCCCCACATCTCCCCCTGCTGGGAGCTCTGCTGCTCCCACTCACGCTCCTCCACCTCCCTAATGAGCCGCGGCACGTAATTAACGCAGCACAAAGCCGGGTCCTGGGTGGGATGGGGGAACGCATCACCCCCACAAAGAGCAGCGCGTGGAGCTTTCAGCCCAATGAGAGCAACTGCGGGGCTGCTGTCGGAGCTTTTTGTGCTGCCTGTATGCACTGCAGGTACTTCTGGCTGCCCCTCACCACTGCGGGCATCTCTTTGGGTGCCCTTTATCCCAACACGGATGTGGTTTTTTTAGGTACCCCCCCACCACAGGGGATGATTTATGGGTACCCATTCCCCACAGCGGATGATCTTCAGGTGCCTCTCACCACTGGGGGTATTTTAGGGTGCTCCCTGCTTCTCTACAGATGATTTCAGGGCACCCCTCACCGCTGCAGATGACTTGGGGTTGACCCCAAGCACCAGGTGGTGGGGGGGTGGACAATTTTGGGGTGCCCCTCACCCCGCCGAGGACGACTCGGGGCGCCCCTTACCGGTGTGGATGAGGATGTGCCTCTTGAGGTGGTAACTGCTGCGGAACGCCCCGCAGCACTGCTCGCAGATGAAGTTCTTGTGGATCCTCAGCTGGAAGGAGCAGTTCTGCTTGATCACCACCACCTGCAGGGCGGGGGGGTGGGGTGGCCCCGTCAGCCCCCCTGACCCACAGCCCCTCGGCCAGGGCGAGCCACCCCCCCCCAACCCAACCCCCAACCTGCCTTTTTAATGGACTTTTTGGGCTGCGACGCCTCCGCCGTCTCCTCCTCCTTTCGGCTGCGGGATTTCTCCCCATCCTGACGCAGTGCCTTGGCACGCAAAACCAAAACCCC